AGTACAGTCAGTGGCCAATAAATGTTGGTGAAGAGAGGAAGGGAGAGGGAATAAAATAAATTTTATGTCTATTTTCTCAATCAATTCTCTTCTCCTTCATCCTCATTTCATGTCTTCCTATTATTTCTCCCCTAACACTAATACATCATTTTTATCCTTCTCTTCCTAGTTTCAATTCACAACTTGCAATCTCTCTCTTGAGGTCTTAACTATTGCAAAAATGCTGATCTGGTGTGTGAGTAGCACAGGTTTAAGAGTTGGTTGCTCCTTAGTGTTGCAAAGAGGGGGATTGTTTTATCTGGCTCTGGATTAGTCTCCATTATATCTCCTCTTCTGTTTTAGCAAGGGATTTTTAACATGATTGAGTTTTACCTAGTTTTCAACGTTAGCAGCTGGGTAAACATACTTTCTGCAACACCCTGGATAAAATGGCAAACTCCAGGGGAAAGTCTTTTACCTTTCGATTAATAAAAAAGACTTGCTCACAGCTCTGGCTGGGGAATAGTAACACCTGAGAGCACTGGAGGGGAATTGTGTGTGCTGGCTGTGGAAAACGCAGCTGATGACCAAAACAGGCAGCTGCCGTCCTGAGTGAGGCTGACCGCCCTGAGAGAGTAGCTTCAAACTGTACTTAGCAAGAATAACAAAGAAGTGAAGTAAGTGACTGACAACTCTGGTAGATACTTCCAAAAAAGCCTGTACTTTTCATAGGAGAATCACCTGATTCTAAAAAATATAAATGAATGCTTACAAGAGACAGAGAGGGGAGTACTCAAAAATTGCTCAGGGAAAATACTTTGGAAAGAAGATTTTGAAACAAAATAGGAAATTTATGTGTGTATTTAGAAGAGCCAACTTTGTAAAAATCCATAAGTGCTTCTGTTTTCACTGCCTTCAAATTGGGTGTAAAGGATAAGAGACCTTTTTAAAATACAGTGACTTAATCATTCCTAGAGTTCGATTTTAAAGTTATCTGCTATGCAAATTCATGAATCCGTCCACATGTTTACATGTGTTAAAGATTTTTCTAAAATAAAAATATCAGGCAAGGAAAGTGTAAGTATTAATAAAACGTGCTTGTGATGCAAGGTGTAGCAGAAGACAACAGGCAAAAACATGATAGACTAATATGCTAAAGTCAGTTACCTGTGAGTGGCTACTGCTACTAAAAATATGTTTTTACCATGGAAATGACTTGCAAACCACATTTAAAAAACTAGAGCATGTATATCAACATATTGAAAAAATACAATAAATGAGTAACAGGAACAGCCTATAGCTGCAATACTTTTGCAAAAGAAAAATTTTGTAGAAGTGGTTATTATAAAAAATATGGAAAACTAACTTCTTAGCCTCACCAAAACAAATGTTTTAAGGAAGAGTTCAAAAACCACCACCACCAAAAAGTATGTCTGCAAAAGAAGTAAGTCTGCAATTGTTACCAAATGAAAATTCAGGAGGGCAGGGATTCTTGACTGTATTTTACTGCTATATTCCTAATGCTCAGAACAGTTCATGGCACATAGTAGGTGTTTGATAAATGCTTGTTAAGTGAGAGACTGAATATATGGAGGAGACGCATAGATGATCTCAACCTGGCCCTCTGGTCTCTCCAGGTGAGAAATGGGTTCTTCCTGACTCCCTGTTGCTGGAATGTTTGACCTCTCCTCTACTAGGTAGAACACTCCCTTGAGACACTCTCTTCAGGTTAGAGAGAATAAAGAATTGCTAATAGGCAAATCCATTTTATACCCTCCTCCAAAAAAATTCTTTATTTCACAAGTTTAGGAAACTACTTTGTCATAAAGGCTTTCATGATTTCACAGCATGATCTGCCTGCCATAGGCCCTCACTTTCTCTGAACCAATTTAATAACCCTCTTCTCTTGCTCTCTCAGATCCAAGCACACTGTCCTCTGATTTGCTCCATAAACTCTGCATGGAATGCATCTCCCAGATGTCTGCCAGCCTCCCTCAGACATTTTCTCTCATTTCTTGCAGGCTTCTGCTCAAATGTCACTTTCACAGAGAAGCCCTCTCTGACCAGGCTAAGTGAAAAAGCCAGCTTCACACTCAACTTCTGGCATTCTTTCTTGTCCTGGCCTGCATTATTTTTCATGGATATGCTTTGTCTATTTCATTCACTTCTCTATCCCCAACGGTTGCAACAGTGCCTACTACACAGTAAGTGCTCAATAAATATTTCTTGAGCACATAAACAAAAACAGAGTCATATTTCATGTGCCACTTCAGGGAGGCAAATATAAGAGATGGAAAAGGTGTGGCCTTTTGAATCTCATTTCTAACTATTCACTATGTGCCCCACCTGGAGACCACCTCCCTGACTGTCAGAATTTTCACATCAAGTGGGAATAATAACACTTATCTGGCATGTACTTGGCACCGATCAAAGGTTAGTTCCACTCCCTCCTTTCTCCCTGGTTCCTTTTTGTGGCTGTGAGCTAATGTAACACTGTCGTTATGAAACAAAGTGACTGCAGGTTCTGAGGTGGCTGTACAATGAGTGTGCTGAGCAAGATGAGAATGCTGAGCAAGCCCTGGGGCAGTATCATTCATAATGACAACTAACATTGTTTGTGCTTCTGTTTGACAACTGACAAGGCATGAAAAAGACAACCTTCTTTCCTAAAGGTGCCATCATCTGACTGGGAACAGAGGGTTCTAGAACTGGCCTTGAAGCATGACTAAGTTTCAGAATAGTGGTAATTCTGAGAAGCATTTCAGAGAGGAACCTAAGCCAATTGGGAGGGTGGCTATAGCAGGGGCTTCCTTCGGAAACACGTTAAAAGAAGAGTGGACAGGAAAGGTGATGTCAGATTATGGAAGACCCCACATGGCAGACTGAAGGCTAGCTCTAATCCTGTAATTTATGGAGCACCACTAACATTTTTGAATACTGGAAAAACATAGAATCATATAATGAAAATGACAAATTTTAAAGAACCCACAGACTCTCCTCAAAGCTAAGCACTAAGCAGTATTAATGATTCCAGAGCTATTTATTTAGAAAAATAAATGATAAGCTTATAAACTGAAATGAATCAATATTCTAATTCTAATTTTCCCAGGTCATCACTATTTGAACCACCGTGGAGGAGAAGAGACATGTGCTAGAAGAGACTTGGAGAACTGCAACCTATAAGAAAGTATCAAAAAATGTCAGCGCAGTAGCAGAAGACAGCACAAACGTAGTCTCCAAGCAGCCAAGGGACCTATGTGTGGTTTGTGTTTTAAGAGCAGTACCAATGATTATGTGACCCCCTTATAAAATTTCCTCTCTTAGGACTATACCCCATCTCTCCTTTACATGTTGATTCCTTATTGTTCAGTTTGAATAAATATATAACAATCTTATGGATACCAAAATGCTGAAACTTCTGTGTATAGAAGAATAGAAAGAAGAAGGTTCCAGATTATTTCATTCACCTCAAAGGGGGAAAATGGAAATGAATATGTTACAGATTCTACTAAAAGTCGTTCCACAGTTGAATTCTATAACAGAATTTAGTAAGGAATAAAAGTTTTGACACACAGGAAAGCTACCCTACCTAGGTATCGTATTTTTCTTGGGATCTCTTCTCACAGCATGGACATGATTTATTCAGATTATCAAAGAGCTTCGGATAAGGTTCTCACAAGTGTCTATTATTGAAATTTGGTAAACATGGTGTGAAAGGAAAAGTTTTATCAATTAATTAAATGAATTTCAAATGCTTGAGAGGCAAAGAGGCAAAAAGTAGAAATAACTGGGCAATTCTCATGTGGAGAAAGGTTAATCATGAAGGGCTCTGAGGCTTTGCAGTAGAATCAGAGTTATATTTAACTAGACCAGGAAAGGGCACCCAGTTCTCCTTCCCCAATTCTGTGTCTATCAGTCCAACACACACAGCCCCTATTGATGTGAAGAACATTTGGCACATGGACAAGATACAGACAATATTTTAAATTACAAAAGTGTTTAAAGTTACAAAAGCATTTAAAATCCAGGACAGAGAAAACAGATAAATGCTGACTCAGATATTCCTGAAGACATCCCCAAATACAAACACACAGAAATAAAAACAATAGCAGAATTTTGTGATGTGTACTACATAGAAACACATGTGCCTTTTCAAAAGACTAGATATGGTATTTGAACAAAATTATCTAATTTATTGGCATGATGAGAGCAAATTTTCAATATAAAAGAAAAGTTAATATGGGCATTTAGATCCACAAAATCCACAAAGTCTATTTGTACATATTGAGAAGACATGTAAAGGCAAACAAACAGTGAAAGTGATATGAAACAGTAAGAATAATTACTTTTTTTCAGACAAATGTGAAAAAATGGCACAGATATTACAAAAGAATAACCTGACATTAATGGAAAAATTTGGAAATCAAATAATCTACTTAATTAACATTAATCTTTTATGACCCATAACTCAATGTGGCATTTGCAATGATCCAGAAATAACATCATGATTCACAGGAATGGCTCAGAAATGCAAACCAACTCTTGATTTCACCTCTCTTTGCCTTGCTTTCCTTACATGTAAAATGGAAATAACAGAACTTACTTCACAGAATGAGTATGAGGATTAAATTAGATAATGTATCTAAAGCATTTAACACAGTGAAAGTATGAAATAATGTTAAATTATTACTGTTATTGGTGGTGGTGTTGTATTTATGATATACTAAACCCAAACAGCTACAGGACACAGAGAAACAACCTCATTCAAATCATGGTTACTCTCTTAATTTTATCATTTTTATGACTCAGTATGTAACAAGTCATATGAAATGTGTTCAAGTGCTTCTAAACAAACAAACAAAATACCCACAGCTTTGAAATCTCTCCACTAGCCAGTTTTGTAAAATGGAAGAGAATTACAAATCGATCTCAAATAAGCCAATAATAAAACTAACAAAACACCAGATAAATGCTTACCACATACTAATTCTTAAATGGATGAATATAAGATTCAAACTTACCTTTCAGATAATATTTTAATAAGCTCTTTTCTATTCTGTACCCGAAGGTGGTTAGTTTTATACTTGGAGTCATCAATCAGCTCAGGCAAATCCAAGATCTAAAAGGGAAACACAATTTTCAAGTATAAGACATAAGTTGTTCTTGTACCTGCCTGTAGGTGCTAATTTTCAGGTCCTATTTCTCCCTTCTCAAGAACATTCCTTGCTGGTCTTTCTGCTTCTCAACAAGGACATGTCGAGAAAACAAACACACAATTAGGATAGATCATGCTGGTGAAAGGGTTTGTCATCCTAAGAGGCTCTTACTACATTTAAACAAATATTCTTAAACACAGGAGAGCAGCAAAAGACCCCCATAAGTCTTATGCTAAATACGAGAACACAGGAAACATGTTTTCTGATCCCCATAGAAAAAGTCTTGTTTGGAGGAAATAGGGAGAGAGATGCTAACTTGGGTAAAATGGACCAAATTCTAAAAACCAATATCATAAGTGCATGTCTGCATGCATCTTATACACAGTCAACGTGTACCTTGTAGATATATTCACTTAATCCACATATAAATAAAATACAATGATCTTCCAGGTTGTCCTATGCAGAATGTTCTAAAAGGTGCTAAAATAAAGTAAAAGCAAATACATTTTCCCAAATTCTCATCATTTAAACAATAGCAAATTAAAAGATTTTCTTCCTATAGAAGCATGACTATTTTTTATTAATGTATCTACCTGAGGTAATACCAACTAGAAATGCTTTTATAGCCTTCCTCTTTTGCTCCTCCTCAATAAAAGGGAAAATCTATCTTGCAAGTCCCTTTGGACAACGTTCAACATTAACAAGACCATAATGAAAGTACCAAGTGGATTTGGAATGGAAAAGTTTTAAAAGACTGTGTAGAGGCAGTGCTTGGCAGTTGCGTTGGAAAGTCAGAAGGAGCATTTACAGCCTGGGGGCAGGCCATGCAGCCTACAGAAAGCTTCATTGCCTTTATTAATGTATTTGCTTTCAATATAAATATCTAACAGTTTCATTTATTCTCGCAGTTTAAACAAAATCAATCTATTAATCATCTTACAAAGGAGAGAGAAGTAAAGAAGATTCCCCAGACTAAGAAGACCATCTCAGTGGTGTAATTTCTCTTTCACATGTTCCACTTATTCACTTCCTTTAAGAATAATAAAGACAGCATTATTCTCCCAGATTTTAAAAAGCAACACCACTTACAGCACCCTTTCTAGAAACCTCCCTCTCATGACACCTGATCCAAGAATTGGCCTCATGCCTTGTCCAGCATTTAGACACCCTCTCTCCCTAGGAGTGTATAAGTCATTTCAAGAAAAAAAAATGTCATCAATAAGTCACAGGTTAAATTTATAAACTTGGCCTCACCTAAAAAGCACCATCAGCAATAAAAAATTACAGTGACCACACTCAAGGGTGACTGAAATGCTCATGTGTCCTCTGTATTTGACTTACTGGACCTCTTTTCTGTTTCAAAGATGGTGTGAAATTGTTGGCCAAAGTAATTATCCTTCCATCTTCAGCTATGGCAGCTAACATTCAAAATGTTTCTAGAGAGACAGCTTCAAGAACTGTGATCATAACTATTACTTTGGAGCCTAAAAAAGAGTGCTGCCTGGAATATGTCAAGAGTGCTTGACATATTAAGCACAAAATAATTGTGAAGTATTCCAACTAGGTACTGTTACCCGCAAAAGAAATGTTTTGGTTTGGTTTGGTTTGGTTTTTGAGAAGGAGTCTTTCTCTGTTGCCCAGGCTGGAATGCAGTGGCACGATCTCGGCTGATTGCAACTTCTGCCTCCCGGGTTCAATGGAATATCTCCTGCTTCAACCTCCTGAGTAGCTGGGACTACAGGCATGCGTGCACCACCACACCTGGCTTTTTTTTTTTTTTTTTTTTTTTTTTTTTGGTATTCTTAGCAGAGGCGGTGTTTCATCATGTTGGTCAGGCTAGTCTAGAACTCCTGACCTCAAATGATCCACCCACCTCAGTCTTCTAAAGTGCTGGGATTACAGGCATGAGCCTGGCCAGAAAGTTTTTAAAAGCATATATTTGTTCAAAAAAGAAAGGAAGGAGGGCTCTACAAAAAAAAATAAAGAGACGTTGGCAAAAATGAAAAAGAGAAAATTTTTAAAATGTCATTAAACGGAGCGGCACACATTTTCCAAAAAGAGGAAAAGAGAAAAAAAAAAAATGAAGATCCATGATAATAAAAACTGTCAGTGTTTTAACATGCCTATCATCTAATCCTCCCCTTACAGTAAAAATCAAAATCCTTAAGATAGCCTGAAAGGTTCTTCATGATATGGCACTATTACGTCTCTAACATAACCTCTTACCATGCTCTCCTCCCTTGCTCTTTGCTGCAGCCATTTCATCTTCTTGCTGGACCAGGAACATGTCTATTTCACTTCAGCATCAGGAGTTTTAAAAGAGCTATTCTTTTGCTTGGAACACCTTTGACCAGACATCTAGTTGGCTAGCTTCTCCCTTCCTTCATTGAGTCTGCTCAAATTCAACTTCTTTTATATATATATATATATATATATATATATATATATATATATGTGTGTGTGTGTGTGTATATATATATGTATGTGTGTATATACATATATATATATGTGTGTGTGTGTGTATATATATATATATATAAAATTGCGTTTTAGGTTTTGGGGAAGATGTGAAGAACATGCAAGATTGTCTCATAGGTACATACATGGCAATGTAGTTTCCTGCCTTTCTCCCCATCACTTATATCTGACATTTCTCCCCATGTTATCCCTCCCCAACTCCCCGCCCCACAGTGTCCCTCCCCTAGTTCCCCCCAACAGACCTCAGTGTGTGATGCTCCCCTCCCTGTGTCCATGTGTTCTCATTGCTCAATACTTGCCTATGAGTGAGAACATGTGGTGTTTGATTTTCTGTTCTTGTGTCAGTTAGCTGAGAATGATGATTTCCAGGTTCATCCATGTCCCTACAAAGGACATGAATTCATCGCTTTTTTATGGCTGCATAGTATTCTGTGGTGTATATGTGCCACATTTTCCCTGTGCAGTCTATCATCGATGGGCATTTGGTTGGTTCCAAGTCTTTGCTATTGTAAATAGTTCTGCAATAAACATTTGTGTGCATGTGTCTTTATAATAGAATGATTTATAATCCTTTGGATATATACCCAGTAATGGGATTGCTGGGTCAAATGGAATTTCTATTTCTAGGTCCTTGAGGAATTGCCACACTGTCTTCCACAATGGTTGAACTAATTTACACTCCCACCAACAGTATAAAAGTGTTCCTATTTCTCCACATCCTCTCCAGCATCTGTCGTCTCCAGATTTTTTAATGATTGCCATTTTAACCGGCGTGAGATGGTATCACATTGTGGTTTTGATTTGCATTTCTCTAATGACCAGTGATGATGAGCATTTTTTCATATGTTTGGTGGCCTCATATATGTCTTTTTTTCGTAAAGTGTCTGTTCATATCCTTTGCCCACTTTTGAATGGGCTTTTTTCTTGTAAATCTGTTTTAGCTCTTTGGAGATTCTGGATATTAGCCCTTTGTCAGATGGGTAGATTGCAAAATTTTTTTCCCATTCTGTTTGTTGCTGATTCACTCTAATGATAGTTTCTTTTGCTGTGCAGAAGCTCTGGAGTTTAATTAGGTCCCACTCGTCTATCTGGGCTTTTGTTGCCAATGCTTTTGGTATTTTAGTCATGAAGTCCTTGCCTATGCCTATGTCCTGAATGGTTTTGCCTAGGTTTTCTTCTAGGGTTTTTATGGTGTTCAGTCTTTTGTTTAAGTCTTTAATCCATCTGGAGTTAATTTTAGTGTAAGGTGTTGGAAGGGGTCCAGTTTCTGCTTTCTGCACATGGCTAGCCAATTTTCCCAACACCATTTATTAAACAGGGAATCCTTTCCCCATTGCTTGTTTTTGTCAGATTTGTCAAAGATCAGATGGTTGCAGATGTGTGGCGGTGCCTCCAAGGCCTCTGTTCTGTTCCATTGGTCTATATCTCTGTTTTGGTACCAGTATCATGTTGTTTTGATTACTGTAGCCTTGTAGTATAGTTTGAAGTCAGGTAGTGTGATGCCTCCAGCTTTGTTCTTTTTGCTTTGAATTTACATGGCTCTCGGGCTCTCTTTTGGTTCCATATGAAGTTTAAGATGGTTTTTTCCAGTTCTGTGAAGAAGTCATTGGTAGCTTGATAGGGATAGCATTGAATCTGTAAATTACTATGGGCAATATGGCCATTTTCATGATATTGATTCTTCCTAACCATGAGCATGGAATGTTTGTCCAACTGTTTGTGTCCTCTCTTATTTTGTTGAACAGTGGTTTGTAGTTCTCCTTGAAGAGATTGACTGGAATAACAATGAAATGAAGGCAGAAATAAAGATGTTCTTTGAAACCAATGAGAACAGAGACACAACATACCAGAGTCTCTGGGACACATTTAAAGCAGTGTCTAGAGGAAAATATAGAGTAATAAATGCCCACAGGAGAAGCAAGGAAAGATGTAAAATTGAACTTCTTAATACAACTACCCTGATTACCTTATCCCCACCACAAGCCACCCCACCCCACACAACACTGACTCCCATGATTCCCTCTTCCCTTGCTCATTTTTCCCATAATATTTATCACCTAACATAAATTATTATGTTTATTGATTCTTATCTGCCTGCCCTGCTAGAATGTAATCTTCACAAAGTCAAAGTATTTTGAATGTTTTGTTCACTGGTATAGCCCAAATGCTGATAACATATTCTTCAACTGACAAGGTCATAGATAAACAATGTGAAAACTTTCAGGTATACGATATTTCAGACATTATTCTATGCCTATGCCTTATTCCATTATGTCTAAAATCACTTTTTAGTTGCAGCCAGGCATGGTGGCTCACACCTATAATCCCAGCACTTTGGGAGGCCAAGGCAGGTGGATCATCTCAGGTCAAGAGTTCGAGATCAACGTGGCCAACATGGTAAAACCCATCTGTGCTAAAAATACAAAAATTAGCCAGCATGATGTTGGGCACCTGTAATCCCAGATACAAAGGAGGCTGAGACACA